ATGCAAAGCAGCGCAGAGCAATGGCACGCAATGCAAACCAATGCCACGCACTGCCACGCAATGCACAGCACGGCCAATCAACGCAAAGCACTGCAAGGCAGTGCTGAGCAATGCTAAGCAATGCCAAGTATTCCCAAGCATTCCCGATGAATGCCAAGCAACGCCAAACAGTGCCAAGAAACGCAAAGTAATGCACAGCGGCGCAAAGCTATGCCATGCAAAGTCAACCAACTTCAACGTTACCACACAACGACATCCCATGCCAAGCAATGCACATCGACTCCAAGACATGCCAAGAAATGCAAATCGGCGCCAAGCAATGCCAGGCATGGCCAAGCAGTTCCAAGCATTTCCAATACTGCCCAAGCAATGCACATCCATGCCAAGCAATGCCAAGCAACGAATTCAACCAATATCAAGCAATACCACACCACGCCACTCAATGCCAAGCAATGCAACCGATGCCAAGGTTCCAAGCAATGCTTAGCAACACATTGCTTGGCATACGGCCCCGAATTTGGGTCGCGCCAGGTCCATCTCAGAAAAGGAAGTGCGTGAACACGTAATGTTGGTTGCTGGCCTCGCATTTCTTCCGGACCAGGTGCCCGCTGGCCACAGCAGACCGTCGAGCCTGGAGGAGTGGTACAGCGGTGAGTGCAGACCGAGGCCACCCAGCCTTGACACGCCGCCCGCGAGCCCCAGCGTGGCGCCAGGTCTGGGCGAGGTGCCCGCCAGCCCCATCCAGAGGCCGCCGAGCCTGGAGGAGTGGCGCGGTGCTGCCGGCAGGCCGCCCAGCCCAGACGCACCTCCCAGGGCTGTACACAGCAGGCCGCCCAGCCTGGACACGCCGCCCGCGAGACTCAGCACGGCGCCCGGCCTGGACGAGGTGTTCATGGGCTCAGGCCGGAGGCCGCCCAGCTTAGACACGCCGCCCGCGAGACTCAGCACGGCGCCCGGCCTGGACGAGGGTTTCATGGGCTCAGGCCGGAGGCCGCCGACCTTCGACATGCCGCCCGCGAGTTTCAGCGTGGCACCTGGCCTGGGCGAGGTGCCCGCGAGCCCAACGCAGAGGCCGCCGAGCCTGGAGGAGCGGCGCGGTGCTGCGGGCCTTCCGCCCAGCCCTGACGCGCCGCCCGCATGCCCCAGCGCGGCGCCAGGCCTGGGCGAGGTGCCCGCGAGCCCAACGCAGAGGCCGCCGAGCCTGGAGGAGCGGCGCGGTGCTGCGGGCCTTCCGCCCAGCCCTGACGCGCCGCCCGCATGCCCCAGCGCGGCGCCAGGCCTGGGCGAGGTGCCCGCGAGCCCAACGCAGAGGCCGCCGAGCCTGGAGGAGCGGCGCGGTGCTGCGGGCCTTCCGCCCAGCCCTGACGCGCCGCCCGCATGCCCCAGCGCGGCGCCAGGCCTGGGCGAGGGGCCCGCGAGCCCAACGCAGAGGCCGCCGAGCCTGGAGGAGCGGCTCGGTGCTGCGGGCCTTCCGCCCAGCCTCGACACGCCGCCCGCGAGCCCCAGCGCGGCGCCAGGCCTGGGCGAGGTGCCCGCCAGCCCCATGCAGAGGCCGCCCCGCCTGGAGGAGCGGCGCGGTGCTGCGGGCCTTCCGCCCAGCCTCGACGCGCCGCCCGCGAGCCCCAGCGCGGCGCCAGGCCTGGGCGAGGTGCCCGCGAGCCCCATGCAGAGGCCGCCGAGCCCGGAGGAGCGGCGCGGCGCTGCGGGCCTTCCGCCCAGCCTCGACGCGCCGCCCGCGAGCCCCAGCGCGGCGCCCGGCCTGGGCGAGGTGCCCGCCAGCCCCACGCAGAGGCCGCCGAGCCCGGAGGAGCGGCGCGGCGCTGCGGGCCGGCCGCCCAGCCCGCGCGCGCCTCCCAGGGCCGTGCCCGGCGGGCCGCCCAGCGCGGGCACGCCGCCCGCGAGGCGCGGCACGCCGCCCCGGCGGGGCGAGGCTGCAGCGGGCCCGGGGCGCTGGCCGCCGAGCCTGGACATGGACGACGCGGACATGGACTCGCCGCGCAGAGGCCCCGTCAGGCCCTGCGGGGGGGCGGGGGGCATGACTTCAGAGCCCCGAATCATCAGGGGTAACTCGGGCGTCCAGAGCCCCGAATCATCAGGGGTAACTCGGGTCAGGGCTAACTCGGGTTCCTTTTTCGGGAATCCAAACCCGAGTTACCCCGGACCCGAGTTACCCCAGATAACTCGGGCGCCCAATGACCAGGGGAACAAGAAGTGACATAAACATAAAAATCCGGAGGTCCGCGCGGACCTCCGGGTTGTTCTGTTTATGCCACTTCTTGTTCCCCCAATGACGGACGCAGCAGTCTCGCCATGAGGGCAAGGGGGGTCCTGAGAGGAGCGGGTCCTGGGCGCGTTTCGCCGCTTTCGGGCTCGCCCCGGGACCGTGAGAGAAACCGTGCTCGATGAAGAGTTGGTCTTCGGGGGAGGCCCTGGGGTCCAGGACCCGTTGCCTACGGGACCTGCTTCCCTCAAGCGAGGAAGGAAGTGGAAGGATGAGGAAGGCTACCATTCCGTATCAGCGGTGTCAGCGACCGTGGTAGATGGTTTCTCGTGTTGCCGTTCAGCTGCAACTTGCCCTGATCAATTTCCCCTCGTCTCTTCCCTCTTCCTTCACATCCCCTCCGTCCTCCACCTCCTCCCATCTCCTCCAATCTCCTCCTCCTCCTACCTTCTCCTCCTCCCAGCTCTTCTAATTCGTATCATTATTCCGCGTTGTCCCTTGTGCGCAGTAAGCAATTGCTTTTCGTTGCCTGGCAGCCTTCTTCGACCGCCGCGCGACTGCTCCTGCGGCCGCGAGAGGCCCCGTTCACCCGCGCTGGTCCTGACCCCTGCTCCGAGGCGCGCCTCCCGGATCCTCGTCGATCCGTTGTGGCAGGCAAACGCAGGGCTCGTTTCGACTCCGTCGATTCGAGTCGACTTCGAGCGCTTCCGATTCCGATTCGAGTCGACTTTGGGTTCCGACTTGGGTTCCGATTTCTCGCTGGAGACATACCAGCTTGCCGACGTCCGCCGATTCGACTCTACCCGAGCTGGCTGCCGATCTTCACCGATCCGCGGATCTGTTTCGACAGCCGTTCCGACTTGTCGGTTCGATTCTGGGCTCTCCTGCAGACGCGGGGCGGCCAGCTCAGAGTCGGCGAGACCTCGCTTGGCTCTGCCCAGGAGCATGACCTAACTGGGGCGGGGGGGAGAGGATTCGGAGCTCAGCCCTCCTGGGCACAAGGCGAGCCCGAGAGAGATATCGAGCGGGGACGCCGGAGGCTCGGCCTCCCAGGCGCCTGGAGGCACGCGCGAGGCGCCCCTTCTCGCTGGGCCGAGCCCTGCGCGCGCGGCCTGCCCGGGGCGGCCCGCACCTCGGGCACGAGAGCGCGGCGCGGCGCTCGGCCGGGGCCGCGCCGTCGGCTCCTGGCGCCGTGTGGCTTTGTGCGCCCTTCGGATCGGCCGTGGGCACACGAGTCGTTCGATGTGTTGGTCGCTGCCAGGGAGCTGGGCGGTCTCTCAGGCCTGGGAGCGCCCGCGCCCCGCGCTGCCGCCGTGGCCGCCGCGGCCCGGACCTGCCGTGGCCGCGTGGCAGCACGCCGTGGCAGCGGCACACGAGGGGCCAGAGTTATGCCGGGCGTGTCCCCCTACAGAGGGGTTGTCGACGAAAAGTAGAAAGTACCCCAAACATACTCCCAAAAGGTCAAAAAATGCTCAACACATAGTCCCCAGACTATTTTGGGAGTATTTGTTGATTATTGTTGGGGTATGTTTCATTTTTCGTCGAAAATCCCTCTGTAGGGGGACAGGCCCGACTTACGGCCAGAGTGACAGGACAAGCCAGGCACCTGGCAGCGTCGCAGACCTCGCTCGCAAGCCTGCCGCGGCGATTCCTGGCAGCGAGGGCGCCTGCACCACCGTCTGAGGCGAGGTGCGTCCTGCCGACTGGCCCAGCTCCAATCTCGCGTGGGCCCCAGCGTGGACGGACCGTCCGCCAAGCTTGATTTGATCGCCCGAAATGGGTACGGAAAGAATGCGTACAATGCCCAACAGCAGTTCCTGTTCATTTCGAACAGGGCTCGCTGTCCGCGCCGCCGCGGCCTGTGTCCATTCGAGACAGAAGGCCGCCCGCCCAACAGCGGCCGCTGTTGGTTTGGGGCAACATTTGTTGTTGGGCATTGTATCCATTATTTCCGTACCCATCTCGGGCGTCCAAACTTGAGGCGCCACCGCTCGGGTCCAGATTAGGATGTGTGAGACAGGGCCTCGCCCTCGAAGGATCCAGAAGTTGCCACCTCTGCCTCGGTCGAAGGCGGCGGACTTACAATGAGGGCGGCCCCGCTATCGCGAGCCAGCGGGAGGCCAGCGGCAGTTGGCGGAGGTAGGAGCCTGCTATCCAAGATTCCCCAGAAGCAGTTCTGGCACTTCTGGGCTCTCCCAGGCGCTCCCAGGCGCTCCCAGGCGCTCCCAGGCGTTCCCGGGCGCTCCCGGGCGCTCCCAAGCGCTCCCAGGCGCTCCCAGGCGCTCCCAGGCGCTCCCAGGCGCTCCCAGGTGTTCCCAAACGCTCCCAAACGCCCCCAAGCGCTCGGCTCCTCCGTCTTCAGGCGCTGGATGGCCACGCCGGGGGTTCGGCGCTGATGCCCCCTTGGTGGGGGCCCGTGCGCGCCTCGTGGGCGCCCCGCGCGGGAGGCTCTACCGAGGCCTCGCCCGGCTCCCGCCCGTGGGCGCCCCGTGGGCACCCCGCGCTCGGAGGGGTCTGCCGAGGTGTTCACTGGTGCCCGCCTATGGGCGCCTCGCGGGCGCCCCTCGGGGAGGGGCGGGTGGGCGCTCCGCCGAGGTGTCGTCCGGTGCCTGCCTCGTGTGCGCCCCGTGCCCTTAAAACAGTGCTAGGATCGGGGTAAATCGCTCCAGAGCGTTCCGGAGCGCTCTCAGAGCGTTCCGGAACGCTCTGGAGCGGCCGCGGCGCCCAATACATCCTCCAAACCCGCCGATTCTTAGAGATTTTGAGTTATCCCGATCCGATTTTGTCCCGATCTTCGCGTCGTTTTAGCCCTGGGTTGGTCGCATAGCTTACACAGCACAGCCGACGGTGTGGCGGTGCATACCTTGCACATCGTAACTCACACCTCGTAGGTCACATCTCAAGCCGCAGCATGGCTCACACCTTCATAGCTGACGTAAGCCGGCGTACATCACATAGCTCTCGCCTCATAGCTTGCCGAACGTAGCTAAAACCACATGGTTTACTCCGCATCGCTTGCATCTCCACAGTGCAACTCCTCACTCGTTGGGGTCCACGCTGGCTCAAACAACAGTCAAGCCTTTTGAGTTCAGAGTTTTTGAAATGAGCCAGATGGCCAATCGGAAGACGGGTCGCGACTGGAACTGGGTAATCAATACACCTTTGAGCGTCTGCCAGGCCCAACGCCTGAGCTGCCCCAGGTTGCTCCTCACGAGATGCCCGCCCTCTCCAGCCCTGTTCTGCCCACTATGGTTGGCCCTCCACGCCCGTTGTGCTTCCTCTGCACGTGTGCGCGGGGCGTCGCAGAGATGGACACATCCAAATATCTTCTGAGTACGCTGCTCGTCGTCATTGCTCGTCTCCCGATCGTCACTCTTAGCTTGGGCAACGCCGTTGGCCCAGTTGTTTGTTTTCGCCCCAGATGATAGGGGTCTGCACGGTGGTCGCTGACCACCTCCAGCGGTATTTAAAGTGCGGCTCTTTTTTTCTCCAGCTCCGATTTCCGCCCCCCCGCTCCCCGTCAGGGACAAATCCTTCACATGGGTAAATTCCTTCATGACGGCTGGGAGCGACCAAGCGCGAGCCGAGAATCACGCACACGCATGTACACAACATTCTGTGTATACATTCATGTATATGTACATCTTTACATTTACATAAGTACATACATGCATATGGGTCGTGTTGTGCCTCCCCTTGGACAATTGAGCAGAAGAAGACGGGGATGCTTTCTCTGTTTTCCTCTTATTTCTTCTGCCGATTTTCCTCCTCTTTCCGTCATCCCCTCAGAAAAATGGAAGAAGCCAATCACACACAGACACACACCACAAAACAACTCCTGATGCACTCTTCCGCCCTCCTCACCTCCATAAAAGGTCCCCAGGAATGTGTTTTGTGTGTTTGGTGTTCCTGGGGCTTCCAATGAGTCGACGTTCTAGGAGGAGGTGGAGGATCCAGAGGGAACCCAGCGCATGATGAGGACGACGAAGAGGAACTGGTGGAAGAGGAGCGGGACTGGCTTGTCACGCAGTGCCCAGGTAGACCGGACCAGATTCATCACAGTCATGAGCTTTCGTGGGACCGTGACTCTGGTGATGTCGTATCTGTGGGGCTGCCGGCAGTGCGAAGACGTGTACGGGTCTTCAGGGTTTTTGCCAGCGCCCCCCACGGACTGGGGTGAGGAGGTGTTGGCCAAACTCATGGACGATTTCCTTCCTTCGAGAGTGAAGGCCCAGCCAGACGAGTCTGGCTTGGGGCAATGTGCAGGGGAGTGGAGTAGTTTTCGTGCGCGCTGTCCCTATGCTTTGATAGCGGGCCTTGGGACTCAGATTGCGCGCCAGGAGAGAAAATGATAACTAATAATATGGACAAGAATGATGAGCGAGACGAGGGTTATCATAACGGAGCGTAGGAATAGGGCGAGGAATAGGCGGAGAAGCATAAGTCGCCGAATACTGAAATTACGAGAGGCAGAAATTACTCAGCACTGTTCTGTGCCCCTTTCGGTTGCTTCAAGGGTCCCGCAAGCTGTCCTTACGATGCTGTTGTTGGTTTGTGTCGGAATGTTCGGGATTGTGTGTGATTCGAAGTCTTTAGATTGTAGATCGGTTGCAGGACTACTGGTGTTATGGCATTCCCTTCTTTCAGGCTGAAGCAGTTCGGTCCGGTCCGCTTTTCTTTGGGCTTACTATGAAGAATTGTGGTGGTTGCCGCGAGGGTTCTTCGGGATGCCCAGAGGACGGGTATAAAGAGTAAAGGGCGAAACAGGAGGAAGAGGAGAAGGAGGATAAGTGTGAATTGTATGCCGACCAGGGATAGGAAGACGACGGAGATCATGTGGAGGAGGAGCAAGAGCAATTGAAGAGCCACAAGGGGCGAGGAATCTGACAATACGGACTTCCTGAGGTCCAGCTGGGCTGCCTCAAGGATGCCATTGCTTTGTTGGGGGGATTCTTTTTGGTGTCATTTGGGAATCCCTGAGATTCCTGCGGAACCTCGGATAACGTGGTGCGCCAGCAAGGTTACTCATGATTTCCTTGGACTCCCTCACTTCTTGAATTCTTCGGGGTTTGTAGAGGAATCCACAGACTCCTGGGATGAACTCGCATTTCTTAGACTGTTTGAGGATGAGTCGGAGGAGGAAAGGCAGAGGAAGAGGAGGAGAGGTAGTATGAGCAGGACCAGGGCGCACCTGCAGAGGAAGAGGATTACGTGGACGAGGCGAGGAAGCCTCTGGATAGCGAGACGGGAAAAAGCAAATTTATCACACAGCTGTCTTGCAGTCTTTCGGGTTGCTTCAAGGTCCCCCGCAGGATTTCACCAGGAACTCGTCACGTATCTTGAGGGGATCTTGGGATTCATGGAGAACCTCTGGAAGTCTTTATGATGTTTGCCTGTCTGTTGCTCATGGTTTTCTCAGGGCTCCCTCGGGAGTTCTGGTTGAGTTCCTTAAGGGAAGAAGGAAGAGGAGCACGAGGAGGGAGACCAGTGGGAAGAAGCAGAAGAAGAGAAGTTGAGGCGGAAGAGGAGGGAGTGGAGGATCTAGAGGAACAGGAGGAGCAGGAGGGTCAGGAGAGGGACGATAGCTATCATAGCAGCACGACGCATGTCATCAATCTTGAGTGCTACGCGGAGCAAGACGAGGGCGGGAGATCAGCAGGACGCTCAGGCCCGGCGTGCCGCCTGGTGCCGCTGGCAGGCCGCCCAGTCCAGAGAGGCGCCCGCGGGTGGGGATCTGGTGCCCTTCCAGTCTGCTGCCTGGTCGGCCGGGCACTTCCCGCCTACAGTCTCCTCTCCCTTCCTTGTTCCTCGTCCGCGCGAGACATCATCACCATATTCTACTTCTGTGAGCTCCACGGGTCAGGAAAGGCCACCGCCACCGAGACGCGTTTCGATCCGAAGGGTCAGCAGCTCAAGGCGGTGATGCTTGATACTTTGAAAGAAAAGAGGGCGGCATCGTGCATGATGGCAACTCCCCGAGCGGAAAACTTTGCGCAAGGTGGCGGTCGCATCCAAGGAAACGCAGGTATCCTCTTCGCTCCTCCTTTCGACAACTGCTTCAACAACGAACATAGGCATCAACTTCCCCTTGGAGCGGCGCGCCGGAGTCCCCAGAGCGCCGACCAGGACCGGGCTCGACGCGAGAAGTCCGCACGGACTCCGGCATTCAATAAACGTTTGCGTAATAGTTGATTTGTCTCCTGTCCTCTGCCCCGTTCTCTTCCTCTTCCTCTTCCCCCTCGAGCCTGAAGGTGGCGGCCATTCTCTGAAAGCCCGTGCGGCCCCGAGCCCTTCGGGCCACCATTCGTTAAGTACGACAGCGTCGAGATGAGAATTGTTGTGCGAGCAGTTCGAGAACACGAGCGAGCATCTTGGCCTGCTTGAGTCTGCTCTGGAGCGTACCGAGGCCCAGATCGACAACACATTCGTTAGGGCCGAGGTCGCTGCGAACCAAAGGCAGCTGCAGACCACCGCGGCAAGGCAAAGGAAAGGGCCAGCTGGCCAGCTGGTCGCTCATTGTCGCACGATCCTTGGCGTTAGGTCTATTTGTTTTGTGCATGCCCTCACGAGGGACCCCCTCGTAGTGTGCGGTCTACGGTGGTCGGGCTACTTCGCCCACGTTTTAAACATCACGTGTGGACGCGTGGGTCCCAAGCTGTGTTGTGTAAGCTACGCTGTGACATATGTGAGGTGGAAGCTACGCGGCACGAGCCATGCAGTGCAAACTGTGAGGTGCAAGCTATGTTGTGTAAGCTTTTCTTTTCTGGTGCACTCTGTGTGGTGTGAGCTGTGCGGTGCGCGGTGCAGGCTGTGTGGTGAGCAGCTATGCCAGGCAAGGTATGCGGCCGCGCCGCATGGGAGGCGCCCGCGAGGCGCCCACGAGCAGGCCCCAGGCGAAACCCCTGCAAACCTGCCCAGCCACGAGGCGCCCACGAGGCGCCCACGGGGCGGGCACCGGGCGAAACCGCGGCTCACCCCCCGGGCGCGAAACCTTGGCACACCCAACCAGCGCACGAGGCGCCCACGAGGCGCCCACGAGCGGGCGCCTCAGGGGAGTCCTCGGCACGCTCACCCAGCGCCCGAGGCGCCCACGGGCGGACAAGACGCGAAGCATCGGCACTCCCACCCAGCGCGCGAGGCGCCCACGAGGCGCCCGCGGGCGGGCGCCAGGGGAATCCTCGCCACACCCACCCGGCGCACGAGGCGCTCACGAGCGCCCGCGGGCGGGCAGGGACACCAAACACGCCCACCCAGCACACGAGGCGCCCATGAGGCGCCCATGAGCGTCCACGCGCGGGCACTGGGCGCCCACTAGCGCCCACGCGCGTCCACCCACGAGGCGCCCTAAGGAATCCTCGGCACACCCATCCAGCGCACGAGGCGCCCACTGGACGCGCACGGGCGGGCACCCGGCGAGCCCTCCGCACCTCCGCCCAGCGCGCGAGGGGCCTCCGAGACGCCCAGGAGCTGGCGCCAAGGGGAACCCGCGGCTCACCCACCCAGAACACTAGGCGCCCATCAGCGCCCATCATAAGCCACGGCATACGCAACCAGATACCGTGAGCAACCAAGGGAAGAACCCCTAGAGTGCATGCACTGCCTGGGGAACGTTGGTGTAGATCATGGTCTTTTGAGACCGTGGTTACCGAAGGTCCAACCTAGTAATGGACAGGGCATGGCCTCTTAGTGAATTGAATCCGTCCACCGGTGTAGCTTACGCGAACGCTTCCTCACCACTTGTGCGGACAGTTCGTCCGAGGTGGTCTGTTAGACTGGAGGCTTGCGGTTACTGGGGAATTGCATCTTTGGTACGTCTCTTAAGCCAGCAGGCGGCGAGTGTAATATGCGCACTCTTCGTGCGGCCTTCATAAAGAGGCCTCTGCGAACTGTGCAGGGTGGGGGACATCTTCAATGATAAGGCAGGAGGAGAAGAAGAGAACGAAGGAGGCGGACGAGGTGGAGGAGAGGGAGAAGAAGTGGAGGGGGAGGAGGAGGAGGAGGAGGAGGAGGAGGAGGAGGAGGAGAGGAGGAGGAGGAGGAGGAGGAGGAGGAGGAGGAGGAGGGAGAGGAGGAGGCTTTTCCAGAGCCGAGCTTCGGTGCCCAAACTCTCTCTCACGTGTAATCGGGGTGTCTCCTCATCCTCTTCTTCCCGGAAACCAAGAGAGAACTGTGGTGATCAGCATCCCCATGCCCCCTCCAGCATGAGCAGAACCCTATGGACATCTGTGTAGATTTTTGCATCGGCGCTTAACAGCCATCCCCGCACCCTGTCCCCGTCGGGCGAAGTAAGCTGGGGGCGGCGTTGGAGGCGCCGCCAGAGGTTTTGGGGAAGGGGTCTCGTGCCGACTCGAGTGACCCGCGCCAACCTTCGAGTGTGTTTGTGTATTGTTCTCCGATGCCCCTCCCTCTCTCGCCTGCCTTCATCCTCAACTCCACCTACTTGGGGTCCTCCTCCTGCTGGGGCTCCTCCTCCTGGCCTTTCCCTCGAACGCGGCGGCCCTGGGCACCCCCGTCCACGCATGTGTTTCCTGATCAGTCCGCGGCCCCAGGTGGTCTTGGCTCTTGCCCCGTCCACATGAGCGCCTGCTGGCGTCCCGGCCCGACAACGGCCCCCCGATGGCAGACATCGAGGGAGCGCCGCGGGATTGTCTGGGCCCGCAGCGGTCAACACTCGACCCCCTGGACTCTCATCCCGGGGTGCGTTCGGACCCGAGGCAGGAAGCGGGGGAGCGCCGCGGGATGTCTGGGCCCGCAGCGGTCAACACTCGACCCCTTGGACTCTCATCCTGGGGTGCGTTCTGGCCCGATGTTGCGACGCGCAGCCTGGCCGTTGCGACGAGAGCGCCCCGGGGGGCCCGAAAGGCACAGACGAGCGCCCGAGACCATCGACGCCGCGGGGGAGGAGGAGGAGGAGGAGGAGGAGGAGGAGGAGGAGGAGGAGGAGGAGGAGGAGGAGGAGGAGGAGGAGGAGGAGGAGGAGGAGGAGGAGGGAGGAGGAGGGAGGAGGAGGAGGAGGAGGAGGAGGAGGAGGAGGAGGAGGAGGAGGAGGAGGAGGAGGAGGAGGAGGAGGAGGAGGAGGAGGAGGAGGAGGAGGAGGAGGAGGAGGAGGAGGAGGAGGAGGAGGAGGAGGAGGAGGAGGAGGAGGAGGAGGAGGAGGAGGAGGAGGAGGGAGGAGGAGGAGGAGGAGGAGGAGGAGGAGGAGGAGAGGAGGAGGAGGAGGAGGAGGAGGAGGAGGAGGAGGAGGAGGAGGAGGAGGAGGAGGAGGAGGAGGAGGAGGAGGAGGAGGAGGAGGAGGAGGAGGAGGAGGAGGAGGAGGAGGAGGAGGAGGAGGAGGAGGAGTGAGGAGGAGGAGGAGGAGGAGGAGGAGGGAGGAGGAGGAGGAGGAGGAGGAGGAGGAGGAGGAGGAGGAGGAGGAGGAGGAGAGGAGGAGGAGGAGGAGGAGGAGGAGGAGGAGGAGGAGGAGGAGGAGGAGGAGGAGGAGGAGGAGGAGGAGGAGGAGGAGGAGGAGGAGGAGGAGGAGGAGGAGGAGGAGAGGAGGAGGAGGAGGAGGAGGAGGAGGAGGAGGAGGAGGAGGAGGAGGAGGAGGTGAGGAGGAGGAGGAGGAGGAGGAGGAGGAGGAGGAGGAGGAGGAGGAGGAGGAGGAGGAGGAGGAGGGAGGAGGAGGAGGAGGAGGAGGAGGAGGAGGAGGAGGAGGAGGGAGAGGAGGAGGCTTTTCCAGAGCCGAGCTTCGGTACCCAATCTCTCTCTCACGTGTAATCGGGGTGCGCTCTGGCCCGATGGTGCGACGTGCGGCCTGGCCGCTGCGACGAGAGCGCCCCGGGAGGCCCGAGAGGCGCAGACGAGCGCCCGAGACCATCGACGCCGCGGAGCTCGAAGTCCGAAGCTGGGGCCGTCCTCGCCTCCCCCTTCTCGTCCTCCTCCTCCTCCTCCTCCTTATCCTCCTCCCCCTCCTCTTCCGCCTACCCCCGCGGTCCCTCCCCTCCCTCCTCCTCCTCTCCTCCTCCTCCTCCTCCTCCTCCTCCTCTCCTCTCCTCTTCCTGCCTCCTCCTGCCTCCTCCTGCCTCCTCCTCCCTGCCTCCTGCCTCCTCCTCCTCCTCCCCTCCTCCTCCTGCCTCCTCCCCCTCTTCGGCCTCCTCCCCCCCGGTCCCGGTCTCGCCTCCTCTCCGCCTCCTCCTCTCCTCCTCCTCCTCCTCATCCGCCTCCTCCTCCTCCTCCTCCTCATCACCCTCCTCCTCCTCCTCCTCCTCCCCCTCATCAGCTTCACGATAGTCCAATGCGTACCTTGTCTTCGCGGCTCAAGGGCGTCGTCCGTCGATGTCGCAGATCATGATACCGTTCGTGGACGGATCAACTTCGTGGAGCATGGCGGGTTCGACGCCTTGCAGATGTTCGAGCGCTGTCCAGGAGATTGGCTGGCACTGTTGTTGGCCCGAAACGAGGACGCTACAAACTTGTTCGTAGACACTCTCCTTCCACGGCTGAATTGGCCCATCTATTAAAAGCCCCTGACTCTGAAGGCGGCAAGCTTGCCTTGGTTCTTGGTGCAGTCCCTATTGGCCTTCCCCAGAATGAAGCCCAACGTGCTGCTCTACCTGTTTGTGGAATGCGTGGTCGCGAATCTGCCGCGCTAGAAGGAAAAAACAGGTTTGGAAAATGCAGCCCAGCACCTAAAACAAAAACAGCTCGACGTCGTGCGGTGCCCTCGTGGAGTTCACCTGGCGATCTACGATTGATCATGCTCAAGCCCTGGGGTTACTCGCAAAAGAAAAGATTAATCGCTGGCCTTGGTTGTAAGATCGAACCACCTGCTATCCTTACCATTACGGAGGTCGTCCTTGCATTAGCACAGTGCTGGCGACTAACTGGACGGTTTTCCTCGTGTGCTGGAAATAATAACGAATGGCAAACACCAAAATCTGATGGCTGCGCGAGCTTTCTTCGTGTGTTTTTTCTCGAGCAGTTGGCCTTGGAATTTACGAAAGTGTACCTTACGGGCCTGCGCAACATGCTCATCACGGTTGCGCACCGCGCAGAAGACGTGATAATGTTGCTCTTGCCGTGCACGCCACAGTTTGGAGACTGCGAGCTGGCAACATCAGACGCATTGCTGTTCTCGACAACATGACCGATGTCTGCGGCTGTTTTGACCACGCTAGAATGAACGTAGTACTACATGAATAGGTTCCTGATGCTGATGCGGCTTCACTTGAGGGTAGTGTTTCCACGCATGTGCTACACTTGCAGGCGGTGGGCGGTATTGTTAATTTGGGGCTCGCGTCTGGTGCTCTTACGGGCGAAACCTCGGCTCCTGACGAAATTCGCACGCCTTGCATGAAGCCAGTGAATACGTGGAGACAAAGTCTCCCCCAGTCAGAACTATTAGCTGAGAGCCCGCTCTTCGACGAAGGTGTAGACACGTTTGTTGCTAAGTATGTTGGCGACTTCTTCCATTCCATAGCGCTGCAGTCTGGAAAGCTCGCCTAAGCTGTTCAACAAGTTAATATTGAACAAACTACTGCTGTGAAGGCTTTGCCTACGGATGTAACCAGGATGCCAAGTAGCAAGTGTTGAACCCTTTCTACAATGCGCAGCTTGGTGGTGCCAGAGTGCTACCCTATGCACGTTACCTCGGGCCCTTCTTCATGCCGTCTGGCGCCATTGCCCCGCAGATTGTGGTTGCTAAGAATGCTTCTACTCGTGGATGGATGGCGTTTCAGAATTTCTGGAGCAGCCGCGCGCCGCGGAACGTAAACATATTGATTTTCACTTATGTTGTTCGAGGTGCTCTTTCGTCTGGGCTGACGCCGTTCATCCTTGCCCCCGCGCAGGGGCGAGACCTGGACTCTGCCTTCTTACGCAAGATACGGTCGATTGCTCAGGGCGGTGCTTGTGCTTGGCCCGTCCCACGCCCCAAGTCCTGGACGAGTAGCAATACATATGCCCGGCTGGATACATCCCTGTTCGGTGCGAGCTCTTGATCCAGAGGCGTGGGTGGTATCGGTGTTTGGTTCGCTTTCCTGATGATCATGTCCAGATCCTAACCACGCCCTTCGGTAAGTATTCGTTTGAATCCGAAGCTACGCTTGTGCGTGGCTCCCCTACTTCGGCTGCTAGGCTTTTCGTCCAGCGATTTGTTGCTGATGTTTCTTGCCTTACGATCCTCACTGATATGTACGACTGGCTTAAAACCTGGGAATATTCGATTGTGGCGTCAATTCAAGATGATGGTGTTCGGCGCCGGTTCTTGAACACTGACGTTTCAGTATTTCGGAAGTTGTGGAAGCTGGGGAAATGTAAGGAATACGTCGGTCTTGGAACCATGCCAGAAGTCGATAAACATTGGGGCGTGGGGAGATGCCGCACTTCGCTTTCGTTGTACTCAGTTCACGGACGAAGGTTGTGCTTGCAGGGGCCTCCTTCTCGTTTCGCAAAACGCTAACCATGCATGGCACGTTCGCCAAAGGCGGTGCCCTTGGTATGACGTCTAATCTATTCAAGTATGTGATGACCAACCAGTGCCCGCGTTTTATGCAAGCGCTTTCGTTCTGGAGGCTTGCTAAACCTCATATTTGTACTGCCTGTCGTGCTGGCAAGTGCAACGCTACTTCTGCTCATGCGGCTTACCCTACCATCAAAGTGCCGCTCATCTGCACCATCTGTAGAACATCGCACTGGCCCAATTTTGACCAGCCGCAGAGGCATATACGTGACGAGCACTTCCGTGCCCCGCGCCGCGCGATTGCGTCAGTCGCCCCATCTGGGTCGCTCAGCCGCTGCTCCGCCAGAGGAATCGCAAGCTGCCAAGGGGCCCTGCACCGTCGACGCAGACAAGGCCAAGGGATCGGGAAGCAAAGGGGCCAAGTTACGTCGTGCTCGCAAAGATCGGGACAATGGACTCGGCAGCCTGATGGAAGCAGGGTTCAACGAGGAACAAGAAACTATTCTGTCAGTGTTCATCAAACAAGCATTGGTGCGAGGCCAAGCAATGAGAAGGTTGTGGTCGGTCGGGGTAGACACAGTCTTCGCGGAGGCTCGGTCGGTCGAGGTTAGGGCGCGGCCGCCAGCTGGGTCCTCCTCACCTGCATATCTTCAATGGGTTCGCGAGCGCACTCTTCAAGCGCGGGGGCGCGCTGGCGCAATTTACAGTCGAGGATATCAGGCACTTGTGCGACCAGCTCTGCGCGAAGGATCACATGGAAGATCTCTGGGCTCAAGTACGGTTGTTTCGTCGCACAAAGTGCTACGATCAGAACAAGAAACAACTTCACACCCACCTAGCGGACGTCGACATGACGACGATGCAACCAGACGGCTCCGGCGGGCATCCATGCCTTCGGGCTCGCATTTGAGGCATCTCCTTGTCCTTGGCCGCGCCCTCGTGCAGATCGGGACCAGGTGAGCCATCGGAGCCGCCCCGCCAGGGGCCATGGAAGAGATTATTCAGAATGCCCTAGGCGATGGTTGAGTTGCGGCCTCAGATGGTGACTTGCACTTGGTTCCCCCTTTGAATACATCTTGCTGTCATCGTTGGTGGCCTGGACTTGATGTGTTTGATCGGCTTTGCCTTCTCTGTTGGTGGCAATCGGTCTTTGATGGTGTCGTGATGCGTGGTTGTCACCATGCAGCGCACTCTTTTGGGGAGAAGTCTGGTGGAAAGTAATTTGGCTACACTAACTTGTCACACACTACTGGTGACTATGACAATATGTGCATCAGCGGCCACGACAGTACCATTGGTTGTCTCTTGATGTCGGACGGTGCGTTCTTGGCCTTGCATTTTTATTCCGTCAATGACACCGCCCTCTCTGTCGAGACCTACGGAGTGCTGCGGATCGACCACTCCCCCGCTTGGGTCTCCCAGGCTTGAGGCCGCCTGCTGCCATCGCTGTTGTTCTCTCCTCCCCTGTCCTCGTCCTTTTTCCCCCTCATCCTGCGATGAAATAGTACAGCATCAGTTTCCAGCCCGTGCGCTCGATACGCCAGCGCGGTTGTTCCCAGTGACTGTTTTCGGCCTGGTGGGGCCTACCTGACCCTCTCCAGTGCCTTTCAGGTTTCTCCCTGCTTCGGCTGGCCGCGGAGGTTCACAAAATGTCGTATCGAGCGCTTTCGTTTTCCATACCCGTGACTTGTCAATTCATTCTGATTTCGTATAAGGCCTTATAAGGCCGCCGACCCCGCGAGAGATTGCTGAGATCTTGAATTCTGTGCGCCTCCATGCCGCGTGTTCTTATTACTCCTTCTCCCTCTCTTTCTCTTCCCGTCCCTCCTAATCCTCTTCCGCCTCGTCCTCCGCCTCTTCCTCCTCCTTCTCCTCCGCCTCCTCCCCCTTCCTCCATCCCTCCCTCCCTGCCTGCCTCTCTCCCTCCCTCCCTCCTTCCCTTCCCTCCCTCCTGCCAGACCGGAGCCGCCCCGGCGCACCTCCGCGCCGCCGGCGGGCCGCCGGGACGAACCCAGCGCGCTTCGGGTGGTGCTGCGGACGCCGCACCGGCTGAACCTCCGGGGCGCGCCACAGGCGCGGCCGTTCGGAGGGCCGAGCATCGAGGGTGAAGCATCGAGGGTCGAGGGTGGAGGGTTGAGGGTCGAGGGCGGTTGCCCAAGCGTCGAGGATGGAGGCTCGAGGATCGAGGTACGACGACGAGGGGTTGGGGCTCGAGGGGGGACGAAGCGGAGGAGAAGGAGGAGGAGGAGGAGAAAGAGCAGCAGGAGGATCGGGAGGGGGAGGGCGTGGGAAGAGGATGAGTCTCATACATGGGCAACATGCTGCTATCCGCCCACCGTCTCCGCGGGTGGATCTCCTCGAATTCAGAACGCGCCACGGGAGAAGTCCGTGGAATAGCGGTGGGATTCGAATCCAATCCTGAGGAGGAGGGGGAGGGGGAGGGCATTGTCCAGGGAGGCCGTGTGGTAGGCAGAGCGTACGGCACCCTCCCAGGACGGATCCAGACGGTTCCCCTAGCGGAGCTGGTCGGTATCACCGTAGCTTTGCAACGCACTATTGGTGAATGTCATTTTGTGCTCGACTGCCAGAGCGTGATTGATGGGATTCGTCATGGACCCCAATGGAAGCACGAGGCTAATTCGGCTGCGTGGCTCGATTTCTGGGAGGCCTATGAAGGCCATCCAGGGCCGTGCCAATTTAAAAAGGTACAGTCCCACCTCGAAGAAGGGGATGTGGGGGTCCACATTACCCGGGAAGATTTTACCGCCAGCCAGGCCGCGGATGAGTCTGCCAGTGAAGGGGCGCGCATGGCCAGGCTCCCACAGCATATCATCCAGCAGGTAATCGACATAGATAATAAAGCTGTCCGCGTGCAGAGGCGTTCTGCAGTTGGCTATCCAGACCCCATCCCTATACTCGGCCACTTCTAGAGCTGATCGTGTGGCCCGCAGTCGAGCGTCCAGGGCCCAACGTCAATCGAACGTTGAGCAAGCACTGCAGGAGACCACACACAGCGTGATCGAGAAGGGGGGGGTTATAAATTGTGTATTGTCTGCCGCGGGCGCCCTACCAAAGAATGTGGGACGCTGGAGTGGCTTGCCTCGCATTGCCCAGGTCGGCCGCACCAGATCCATCAGAGCCACGATGTGTCTGATACTCGTGAACTCTGGGGGTGTCGCAAGTGTGGGGCTTACAGCAGTGCGAAGATAAGCGCAGGGTTGCAAGGCACCTGCCACCGCCCAACAGACTGGGGCAAGAAGGTGCTATCCAAACTCATGGATGGCCGCCTCCCCCCAGGTCTGAAGATCTGGCCAGACGAGCTTGGCAAGGGGCTGGGTGCAGGGTAGTTTCACGCGCGCGCCGTCCCTCCGCGTCATGTGCGGACTTGGGGACTTGGAGTGTGCGCCAGGAGGAGGAGGAGGAGGAGGAGGAGGAGGAGGAGGAGGAGGAGGAGGAGTAGGAAGAGAAGGAGGAGGAAAGGAGGGATATGATGAAGATGTTGATGCTGCTACTGATTGTGAGGCTGATGCTGATGATGATGTTGATAATGGTGATGATGATGCTGCTGCTGATGATGATGATGGTGATGGTAAGTGTGATGATGACGATGATGATGCTGATGCTGATGCTGCTGCTAATTGTGATGGTCACTGTGATGATGAGGATGACGATGATCATCATGATCATGATGATCATGCTGATGATGCTGATGATGATGATGCTGATACCGGTGATGATGATGCTGCTGATGATGATGTGATGATGGTGATGATGAGGACGGTGGTGATGATGAAGAGGATGGTTGGATGATGATGACGATGATGCTGATGATGATGATGCTTATGATGATGATACTGATGATGATGATGATGATGATGATGATGATGATGATGATGATGATGATGATGATGAGGATGAGGATGATGATGATGATGATGATGATGATGATGATGATGGTGCTGATGCTGATGCTGATGCTGATGCTGATGCTGCTGATGACGATGATGCTGCTGATGATGATGCTGATGAGGAGGAGGAGGAGGAGGATAAGGAGGGGGAGATAAGGGGAAGAGAGACGGAGATGAGGAATCCATCATTGTATTGTATCGGGATGGGCACGTCGGAAGCAGGAAGAGCAACGGCCAGAGGCAACCAACTACCAACCAAGATAGTGCAGATAGGGGAGGCCGCTGAGGTCTACGCCAAAGAAGAAGCACCAGCTAGGGTGCAGGAGGGCACAGGGCTAAAGCTAAACGGTGTTTTGGCCATTTCGTGGACCGTTTGCGTTTCGACTTCGTTTTGCAGCAAATGTGGACCGAAGACAGAACTAGGGATGACGAAAACAAAACGAAAACGGAAAGCACTGCTTAACTCGAGCCCTGGGAGGGCAAGGGCGGGCCCCGCTCGGCACTGGGCAGCCCGCCCCACACTGCTCCGGACCTTCCTGCCGCGGCCAGTCGCTCGCCTCGGGCTCCGCGCCAGGGCTGACCGCTGCTTGGCCTCAGGGCCGCGGGGGACCGTGCCCTGCACTCGAAGAGCCCGGGGGCCTGGGGCGGGGGAGAGGCGGGAGGAAGGAATAGGAGAGAGGAAGGAATAGGAGAGAGGAAGGAATAGGATAGAGGGAGGAATAGGAGGAGGAAGGAATAGGAGAGAGGAAGGACATGGAGAGAGAGAGAGAGAGAGGCTGCCCCTGCTGTGCATCCGCCGCGCTGCTGCAAACGTCGAGCCCACTCGCAAAAGAGAACGAGGCCGCACGCCCCGACCGAAGCTTCCGCCTGGCACTGCAGGTCGGGATCCTGGAGCTCCCCTGACGGCACAGGCGGTTCGGCTGGCCCGAGATCTAGTTGGGCCCAGAGCCACCCCCGCTGATCCCTTTGCCCAAGGGGGGCCAGGTGGCACGCATCCATGAGCCTCCCCCGACCTCGATGTGGTGCGGGGTGGCCCGAGTGCTGAGACTGGCCCTGGAGCGGACAGGACCCCTGGCGTTTAGCGAGCACCCACCACCACCCTCCAGGGGCGGTCTTTTGCAGACTCGAGTTCCCCCAGGGAGCCGCGCGGGTGCTGCACAAAGCCGCCGACCTCTGCTCTGGGGGCATGGGGAGGAGGAGGAGGAGGAGGAGGAGGAGGAGGAGGAGGAGGAGGAGGAGGAGCAGGAGGAGCAGGAGGAGCAGGAGGAGCAGCAGGAGTGGGGAAGGAGGGGGGGGGTGAGGAAGAGGAAGGGAGCAAGAGGAGGAGGAGAAGGAGGAGGAGGATGAGGACCACATCGCTTTACGACAACCTGTTGGGTCTCCTGGTGTGCCCTCGCCGGCACGGCTGGATCTGGTTCGAGATTCTGGCGAGGACGCGCTCTGGGACAGGCCCAGGACACAGGCCGCGGGCGTCACGGGAAGGTCACGACGTGTCGCCTTTCCAACCAAGCACGTCGGAGGCCCGACGCCCCCCAAAATGCAGGCCATACCTTGGGATGCTCCACTGAGGCAATCGCCGTGACGACTGTGCGCGCAACCGCGGCCGCAGTCGCGCGCCAGATGCCAGCTGGCCATGCCGAAATGCATGACGCTCTTACGCAGCCGCGGAGAATATGGCCATGAGGGGAAGCATTCGCATGCTGGCCCGTTCTGGGTCCCAGGTACATCGAAGAACATGAACGACCGACCCCAAATACGGGATAGCGAGGTCTGGGGGGGAGCACGCCACGAAATTAGCTCGGAGAAGGACCAACCCTGTGCAGCTGTGCGTGATGCGGGGCGCGGCCCTCACATCATATAATTACCGCACGCTGCGTGCCGTCGTGGGCGGGACGCCGGGAGAAAGAAGCTGGAAGCTTCTCTCTCCACATGAACCAGGAGGGACAAAAACACACAGACACAGTCAATCGTCGATGCCCCAGGAAATATGGGAAATTATGGGAAGTGGGGGGAAGACGAAAACCCAGAAAACATAGGAAAACAAACATGGGAATCCTGTGGTTTGTGTCTATTCATTTGTGTGTGTGTGTGTGTGTGTGTGTCCCAGGGCCCCTTCCAGGAGCCTCTGTCCCAGGGGGGTCCAGCCGAATTGCGCTAATTATATGACTGCTAGGTTTACGTCGGGCGTGTCCCCCTACAGGGGGATTCTCGATGAAGAACAACAAATACCCCAAACATACCCCAAAAACGCAAAACAAATACTAGAAAATTGGTCCCCGGATTATGTTTGGATTATTTTTGGGCTAAGTTTGGGGGTATTTTATATTTTTCCGTCGAAAATCCCCCTGGAGGGGGACAGGCCCGACTGATTGCTATGGGTCACTCCTGCGCTGGCACGGGCAGACCTCCTGGTGTGTGCGCGGCCGCGCGGCGTGCTCGAGCTTCGTGCGGATGTGGCAGCAGGCGCTCCGGGGAGGGGGGAGAGGGGGGGGGAGAGGGGAGATCAGGAGGGGAAAAAACACAGACACAATTAATCGTCGATTCCTAGAAAATATGAGGAAATATGGGAAGTGGGGGGGAAGACAAAAACCCAGAAGATATGGGAAACTATGGGGACTATTTGTATGTTTGTATATTTATTTGTGTGTACTGGGACCCCTTCAGGAGAGGCGAGGAGCGGTGCATCGTAGGCTTAAGTCGGGCCTGTCCCCCTACAGGGGATTTTCAACGACAAATGCAGAATACCCCAAACATTACCAAAAAAATACTCCAAAACTATTCTGGGGACTATTTTTCTGTATTTTTTTGACCATTTGGGGGTATTTTGGGAGATGGGGGGGGGAGAGGGGAGAGGCGAGGAACGGTGCATCGTGCAGTGCCGTTTTTAATACACGCTCCGCGTGCGGATCATGTATCAAAAATACAGGGATGTAGCGTTACAGAATCAACCATGGGTTCATGCATCACTTCATTCAGAAGTTAACCCTGTATTAAACATTATTTTTCTTTTTCTTTTTTTTTAATAAAAAAAAACACACACATCCCATGTATTATTAAAACAAAAAACTGCCCTGTAGGCGCTTCGGGTCCTAGTCCGCGCCCCGTGGGCGGCAGAGACGCTGGCTCCGAGGGCCTCCCAGGAGCCCCAAGAGGTGCAACGCCAGACAGCTGAACGACGCGGGTCGTGCCCTTCTGCCTCCTCCCTCCCCTCCCCCAATCGTCCTCCCTCCCTCCCTCAATCGTCCTGCCTTCCCTCCCTCAATCGTCCTGCCTTCCCTCCATCGTCCCGTCTTCCCTTCCCTCCTTCCTTCCCTCCCTCAGTCGTCCTGCCTCCTCTCCCTCTTGCCCGCCTCCCCCTGCTCGTGCCTCTCGGGGGGCAGTGCTGTGCCAAGAACGGCCAGAACGCAGGGCCCAGGCATGCGATGCATATAGAAGCCTCGACCCCTCCCCCAGGGCCAGCTTCTCGTCCCGAGGCGTGTTGTGGACCCTCCCGGGGGAGGGCGAGGGCCCCCAAAGGCCGACGACGACGAGAAAACCTCCGTCCTGACTTTTCGGCGGTGAGCGCGGGGAGGAAGTGGGAAGGAGATGGCCTTCTCGGAAGGCGGCGGGACTTCATAGAAGCGCCCGCGCTTTCTGAGAAATTTTCTGCGTCTGCGGAAAAGGCTTCAAACATTTCGCAGACGGCCGGGAAGCTTCCGAGCGCTCTGTGAAGGCCCGCCCCTTCTCACGATCCCCCCAGGCTCGCCCTGAGAGCCGACGTTCCGTGAGATCCGACGCTGCGACAACATTGCGACAGCGCGAAAAATCGCGACCCGCGACCTCGACCCCATCTGGCTGCGCCATCCGTCGAGCTGGATCGATCCGTGAGGGCCCCGGGGCCCGAAAGCGAGCGAGGACGCCCGGGGGCGGGCACCCGATCTACTTTCAAAGCCCTCCTACGTCATGTGTCACGTACTTCTTCCGACCGACGGGCAATGTCAGCGTGTGGTTAACAAATGAACCCCCCCAGGCTGATGAATAGACCCCGCGGGACGAGAAACCATTTGTTAAGGCACGCGCTCCAGGGGGTCGTCGCGGGCGCCGCCAAAAGGGATCGTGTCCCCCCCCTGCGCGGCAGCCTCACATCGATTGCCTTTTCGTATAGAGGTTGTCGTTGCGAAGACTTCCCCTTTGAGGCTGATTACCGACGTGCCAGAGTCGCCGTCATCGTCGTCATCATCGTCGTCGCCGAATGCAGCAGGACTCACATCGCAGCACCTCCCTTCTGGGGCATCCGCTGCGCATCGTGGTCGTCGTCCGTCCTCTTCGTTGTGAGCGTCGTCGTCGTCGTCGTCGTTTTCGTAATCGTCGTTTCCGATTACAGCGGGTATACGCAGCAGCCCCCCCCCATGGAGCATCCGCAATGTGTCGCCGTCTGCCGTCGCCGTCGTCGTATTCGTCGTCGCCGTCGTCGTCGTCGCCGTCGTCGTCGTCGCCGTCGTCGGACATTGTATTAGAAGGGGGGGAAAAGGTGAAAGAGAGAGAGAGAGAGGGGAACGCCCTTTCCGCCTCCCTCTCCCTACTGTTTGTAGCCATGTCGGCACCGCGCGCCAACTGAAGCGCCCCTTCCCCCGCTTCCTGTCTCTCCTGCCTGCAGCCATGTTTGCCCACCCGCCCCCGCTACAGCGGAGGCGGTGCTGCCCCCTCCGCTGAAACGGCGCCGCCTGCGCCGTGCGAGTCGCCCTCCTGCGGTCTGCCCGGCGTCGGCGCTGATCACCGCCGCCGCCGCGTGCTTCCATTTGGTGACCCCCCCGCCCCGCGATTCGCCCGAGCAGGGGGACGTTTTGTTCTAACCACACGCCCTGCTTTTTTTCAGTAGCCACGCGCTGAGATCCCCCGTCGGTCGTTGACACCGTAATTTCTGCATTCCCTGACCCCAATCTATTTCAGGCGCCTATCCCACTTCTTGTCCCTACTTTAATTATGATCGCGTGGTTTCACCCCCTCCTTCCTCTTCAGGGGCTGGCGGAAACCCAATTCGCTTTTAACGCCTTCGTTCTTCCTGCTTCTACCCATGTCGTCCGACCGACGGGTCATGAGTAGTGCGTGCAGGAACACTTTGCTTGTGGCTGTGGCCGCTTGCTGCCCCCGCCCTCTCCTGCCTGGTCCGCGCGCCGCCCGGCCAGGCGTCGGGCAGCGGCGGCCGCGCCGGCCTTCTGCAGCCGCGGGGCGGGCGCTCGACGCCGCAGCGTGGCGGGGGCCCCCGGGGGGGGGATCCAGCGCAAATCCAAGAAATGATGTTTGTGCCGGTCTTTGCTCTTGTAAACGGCGGGCGTGGCTTGGGGGACCGGGGCGGGGGGGAGGGGATTGGCCACGTCGCGATTCGCGCCAACGCCGTATGAATGCTTAGGAATGGCAAGTTCCCACGCGGCGCCGGCGTGAATCGTGGGGTGATTGGGGTGGGCGTGAGGGGCGAGGCCGCTCACGGGCGGGCGTTGTCGCGAATAACAAAATGCACGCGTCCCATGGCTCATGCACAAAGGAAGAGGAGGAGGAGGAGGAGGAGGAGGAGAAGGAGGAGGATGAGGATGAGGAGGAGGAGGAGGAGGCGGAGGAGGAGGAGGAGGAGGAGGAAGAGGAGGAGGAGGAGGAAGGAGGAGGAGGAGGAGGAGGAGGAAAAGGAGGAGGAGGAGGAGGAGGAGGAGGAATGGCAGGAGGAGGAGGAGGAGGAGGAGGAGGAGGAGGAGGAAGGGGACGTGGAGGAGGAGGAGGAGGAGGAGGAGGAGGAGGAGGAGGAGGAGGAGGAGGAGGAGGAGGGGGAGGGGGAGGGGAGAGGGAGGACGAGACTGAGCTAGGAGAGCGAGAAGGAAGAGCGGGAGGATAACATTGGCTAACAGACGCGAAAGCGAATGGCGATGGGGAAGAAGGAGGACACGGGGGACGGAGGGCGAGGAGAGATAATGGGTGAGTGATTACGAGGAGGGAGGCGGACGAAAAGGAAAGAGAAGCGCCAGGAGCAGGGAACGGGGATCAGAAGGGGAGGGGGATGAAGCAGGCACAGAGGTGGACATGGCGAACAAGGGTACGCAGGGCGGGCAGGACGATGGTTCGGGACTGGCGGCCGAGACAGCCGGGGGCCACGGCGGAACCCAAGGGGGCTGATCAGCAGGGCCGACAGTGCAGAAATAAAAAGGTCGGGGCGGGGGGGGGCGCGCTGGCCGGTGTGCGAAGAAGAGCTGGTCTGGCTGTGGGGGAGCGCGGGGTGGGCGGCGCCGGTGCCGTGTCGAAGTAAAACCGTCGGGGCGCAGGGGGCGCGTTGGCTGACGGGCGGGGAGGAGCTGGGCTGGCTGTGGGGGGGGGGAGGGCAAAGGCGCGGCGCCAGTGCTGTCTCACAACTGCTCTTACGAGCTACCATCGAGACACCACGGCGGGACAACCGGAGCCACCGTCGGGACACCCCGCGCCACCGACGGACATCGACGGGACACCGACGGGACACTGACGGGACACGGACGCGCCTCCGACGGGGCCACCGCGCGCCAGAGGGGGAGGGGCGGACAACCGGCTCCACAGCCCCTAACCAAGGCGGCATCATTGCTTTCGCGCGCTCACGCAGTTTCGCCTCGCCCGCAGGCACGACACGAACACGAAACCGAAACCAACTTCCCGGTGGGGGGCTCTCCGCTCCACTGGCGATCTCACCCCCCAACCTCCGATTTTCCTGGTGTGCCCGCGTCCACCAGGTGTGGGTCGCAAAGTTTTTTGTTGTTGGCGAGGGGGGCACCGAAAGACAGGGTGGTGTCGAAGAGGAGGGAACATAGGCGGTGCGCCCAGGGCAGGAAAAAGGAGGGCCCCATCCCCGCCACAGTTTTCCCGTCAAACAGCAGGGGGAACGAGTGGATTAGACACGGACAGCAAAGGAAAGACGAAAGAGGGGAAGAACGAGGACGGCAAAGGACATCAGCAGTGGGAGGGAACGAAGGGAAAGGGGGCGAAGGCGGAGAAGGGCTTCGACCCTTCATTCGGGTCGCTTGAGAGAAGGTCGCGGCACGGGCGGCTTTGGACGCGCGCGTTATGGGGCGCGATGTGAGGCCTCGTGATCATGAAAACATCTCAATGTGGCATGCGCTTGCGTGTCGCTGTGTCCTCTTGTGATTCGCGCCCCTGCATGCTTTTGCCCCACAAGTGTGGCAGCAGATGACGCCGCCAAGTTCCTCGAGGAAGGGTGGCGTCATTTAATGGCTTGGCCATCGAAGCACGATCGCGTCGAGGAGCAGCCCCGTCACTCTGGCGAGCCGCCCTCCTCACCCCGTTTCCGTTCGCGCGCACTGTGTCAGCGCAGTATTGCGAAGGCCTTACAGCCGGTGCCGCCGACCCTGAAGACAGCGATCTGTCAGTGAGGGGAAACAATCAGGGGCTGGTGGTGGCGGTGTGGGCAAGACCAGGCCCAGGTCTCCAAGGTCTTTTCGTCGCCCCTAGATTGCGCAGCAATTTGGGGGGCAGGGAAATTTGAGGAGCGGGGATGTTGTTTTTGCCACTTGTTGCCTTTTGCCTTCTGGCCTTCTTGCTGTCACGCCCGTGGGCGCTCCCAAAGCGGGGCTGCGGATTGGGGGGGGCCCCCGTGGGTCTCCGCTGGCCTCCCTGGCGCCCTGTTGGTCTCTGTCGGGTGTTTCCTGTGTTCCGCGCCTTGGGCTGCGGTGCGGCCGGTGGTAGTCGGCGTGGGGATGCCACGCCGCGTCCTCCTCCTCCCTCGTCCTGGCTGGTTGGTTGGTTGATTGGCGCGCTCTCGTGCGTGTCAGCCGCGCGTGGCCGCTCGGCGTGGGTCTGGGCGCGTGCCTGGTGCAGTGCCAAAAGGAGGGTCTCATTCTCGCCCTGGCGCCGGCTACCGTTCAGACGCCTCAGCGCTGGCCACCCCCTTGTTCGGATGGTGCCGTTGCGTGTCGCTGGTGCTCTCGTCCTTGCTAACGCTGGGCGGTTCCAGAAGCACGAAACCCTTGCTAACGCTGGGTTCCTCTGGGGCGCCCTTGCTAACGCTGGGCGGCTCCAGTGGCCAACAACCCTTGCTAACGCTGGGTTCTTCTGGGGCGCCTTTGCTAACGCTGGGCGGCTCCAGTAGCCAACAACCCTTGCTCACGCTGGGTTTTGGGACGCCCTTGCTAACGCTGGGCGGCTCCAGTTGCCCGTAACCCTTGCTAACGCTGGGTTCTTCTGGGGCGCCCTTGCTAACGCTGGGCGTCTCCAGTGGCCAACAACCCTTGCTAGCGCTGGGTTCCTCTGGGGCGCCCTCGCTAACGCTGGGCGGCTCCAGTAGCCAACAACCCTTGCTAACGCTGGGTTCCTCTGCGGCGTCCTTGCTAACGCTGGGCGGTTCCAGAAGCACGAAACCCTTGCTAACGCTGGGTTCCTCTGGGGCGCCCTTGCTAACGCTGGGCGGCTCCAGTAGCCAACAACCCTTGCTAACGCTGGGTTCCTCTGGGGCGCCTTTGCTAACGCTGGGCGGCTCCAGTAGCCAACAACCCTTGCTCACGCTGGGTTTTGGGGCGCCCTTGCTAACGCTGGGCGGCTCCAGTTGCCCGTAACCCTTGCTAACGCTGGGTTCCTCTGGGGCGCCCTTGCTAACGCTGGGCGCCTCCAGTGGCCAACAACCCTTGCTAACGCTGGGTTCCTCTGGGGCGCCCTCGCTAACGCTGGGCGGCTCCAGTAGCGAACAGCCCTTGCTATCGCTGGGTTCCTCTGGAGCGCCCTTGCTAACGCTGGGCGGCTTCAGTGGCTAAGTACAGCACCTGGGCGCCCAGCCATTGCCTGGCCTGCGTTTGCGCAGTGGGGCTCTCGTCGCACATGTTTTGGCTGGTTTCGCTCGCTGCCTTGCACGTGCGTCGTGCGTCTGTGATCTGTAGCCTCGGCGGATCAAGTCCTTTGCTGCTATTCGGCCAAGCTCGCCAGTCTGCCGTCTTCCACTGTGCTTTCCAAAGGCATGGCGCAGGTGTCCTTCACTGATGCAGAGATTGCTGCCGATCTCGAAGGCCTGCCGGATGCAGCTTTCGCAGGCGCCACCAGCTCGGAAAGGTTGAACTGGGTCCGGTTCGTTCTGGAGGTGGACGAGGCTCCACGGGCGAAACACGGTTTGCGCTTCTACTCCAGCGTGGCGGGGGTTCTCGCCGACTTGGTCGGCAGCATCCACCCCAGCGACTACAGCGACGTCGTCATCCGCGGGATGATTACTGAGGGCCTCAAGCCAGGGGATTTCCCTTTCAGTGGCGAGGCCTTCCCTGAGTCGTGGAAGTCGCTGAAGTTCACGCCGGCACAGATCGTGTACGCCCTGCGCGTTCAGGGCAAGTGCGTCGCGCAGGTGTCCACCCCTGGGAGCGGCAGCTCGGGCTCGTGCGGCGCACTTGCGACGGCCGCGCCTTCGAGCAACGATGCCCTGGCGGAGGCCATGCGTGACTTCGTGAAACAGGCAAGCACCCAGCCCAAGAAAGGTTTGTCTTTCAGCTTGGCAGACCGGATCCGCGAGGTCGGTCTGCAGGACTTCCCTTCGGAGGCGTTGCCCTCCGAGGAGCTCGCCGCGAAGTGGGAAGCCGCCGGCCGTGCTGCCGCCGACCGCGGCCGGGCTTACGTCGGAGGCGCCGACGGTGACGACCTCCAGGCGGCCCACAGGCCCCAGTGGAGCCGCACTCCGGAGATCGACGTGGTCGCTCCCGGCGGGTCTTGGGAGGATCGCATGCGTGCTTCGCTCGAGATGCGCCGCGCGCGGACGCAGGAGGACCGGGTGCACTTCGTCGGGTTTGCCACTTTCTTGGGCCACGTGATGACGTGGGGGTTGAAGATCTGCATCATGAAGGTGTGCTCTCCGTCCGAGGTGTTGGGTTACGTGTTCTTGCTGACCCGGGTGGCCGAAGAGTTCGGCGGCGTGCACACGGCTTATTTCTATGACTGGCTTGTGCGCCGCGAGATGGCGCGTTGTCTCGAGAGAGGCGAAGTGGATATTTCGCATTTCTTTCAGAGGTTGGATCGTGAGATCGTCCGTGACGCCCGCGACAAGGCTCAGATGGCCATGAGCCGCGCCGGCAAAGCTGCAGCCAAAGGCACTGCGGCGCAGACGCAGCCCAAAGGCAACAGCGGCAAGGCCAGCAGCAGCAAGCAGTCCACCCCCAAGGGCGGCGGCAAGACCAGCAAGGCCGACACTGGCAAAGGCCGTGCTCCAGTCTCCCCGCAGCTCAACCGTTCCAGGAGTCCCCGGGCCAGCCAGGCCA